GTGTGTTTTCGCGTAGATGCAGATTCGGCCACTTCGGCCGTCGTAGCTGGGGCAACTCTGGAGACGTTGACTGGAATTGTGAACTGCGATCTAGGTCAGAACGAGTACGAAGAAGGGATTATAATATTTATTATCACGGAGCACAGAACAAAGATAGTTCGATCACGTCGAGAAATTGGCTTCCGGTTGCCGTTAAAATATGGTGGCTTTGATAGCATGCTTTTAACGCGTTGATTTTCAAGGCATTTGTATGATAAAAAATATGTTATAAGTGAAGTCTGGGAACTTCCTCTCTCGCACAAGTGTTGCGGTAATTTACTCGGATCCCACCGAGGCCGCCGAATTTTTGCGATTGACTCAAATGAATAAGTATACCTAAAAAAGATAAACTTCCACGCGAACGAAGCACAATCTACTGTGGACGTATTTGAGACTAATTCCCCACATTGCCTTCGGACTTTTGGGTGATGAATGCTGTAGATGTGAGCCCAAAGCCAAGATGCCACCGCTGAATTACGCCTGGTTTGAATCCCCAAGGAAGGACATAACAAGAAGAGCGCAAAAGTAGAACTATTTAAGCGTTCCTAATACAGCGTACTTATGGCAAGCAAAGCATACTTGATTGGACCAATCAAATTGTGTTCTTGAGGGGTAACATCCTGACTGACTGTCGGGCTGGACAAAGTGATAGCGCAGAACACTAATCATGACCGGCGGCTTGATCGAGTTCATCACTCGCGCGGCTTGTAACAAACGATAGTGCACCATGGAACGAGTACTCAGGGCAGCATGATAACGGGTCGTTAGGCCTGCCCCTAGCCATGTATATTAATTAACTCAATTTTTAGGAGTACATCAAACAAACGGTCATATGGTTTGCTGAAGTCTACGCCAAAACGCAGTAATTGCCTCCTGTCGCCGTTTGTGTTTGCATTTCGCTGCAATTATGGACAACTGCTTCGTATAAAGCTAATGCAAAATTAATCTACGGAAGCAGCACTTAGCTACTTAGTACCTCAGGCCTCTGACTCCATGGGACATGTTTTTATTAAGCATAGAAAATGTCCAGTCAGAAACTAGTATTATTTGCAGGCATTTTTTTGTTCGAGTTTTTTGTGGATTCTTGCTCTGCTCTTTCTGATTTGTATTAATCCTCTTTCTTGCCTTCTATTGGTAATTTCGAGTACGCGCAAATTAAGGCAGTCTGCTATTTTTGGTTCCAGTCGAGCGAAGTTCAGATTTTTCACGCTCCGTTCTGATTGCTGGCAGTGCTTTCAGCGGTGGTCGAATGCACTGCGGTGACATTCGACTGCCGACTGTGCCGAACAAACTAATAAAGTATTTATTTACTTTTTTCAGCTCCCGCAACGGATCCATCCGCGTCCTTTCATTTAAGGTTGCAATACTTCTACTCCTGGATGCTAGTCTTGAAGACAAATATCAATGTAAGTAGGTTTTGTTGCGTTGGCTGAAATTCAGCCTAGTGCGCTTTATAATTACTCGTTCTTTATAACAACTACTGGGTGCAACTGGACCGTCGGAATTTACTAAAAGCCGCAAAATCGCAATTACTTACATACCTCTAATGATCCCCCGCCCGATTAGGTAGTGTACGGGCATTTATTTTCCCCCATCATGTAATATACGTGAGATTGCGCAAAATTTCAAAAAGGGTAAATATTTCTGTGTCCTAATCCTAACATTAAAAGTAGCCCACACTTCAACCGCAACCGTAGTTTTAACCAGAACACTATCCGTTCCGTTTTTTTCTAATCGGTATTGAAGAATCTTACTTCAAAAGTCTGTAGTTGTTCCATTTGCAATATATTCACCTTGATACATTCGGTATTCCGGAAATTTACGAAGGCACACAAAGACTCAAATAAACGTTTTCGACGTTTCATGACGGAATCGGTAAAACTGGGGGCGTGAAATGTGTTAGGTAGAAGCAGGCAACTAAATAAGTTTGAAGAAGTTTGATCAGCAAGAATGATAATCAATCACTCCAGATGTTAGCTTCGAGATAATGATCTATTAAAATGAATACCATTCAGATTATATTATAGGAGCCTAACTTAAGCTTTTATCGGTTGTTGCTGTTTTCCAAATTTCAATGCACGCAGTAAATGCCCAATTTTGCCCCTCTCAAACTTTGTCTGATCCTGAACACTTGGCTCATAAATAGACAGTTGTTTCGTTACGCTGACAAAAACAAACAACAGCGGGCATTTCAGACTCAGCAGTTGGCGTCGGCAAACTATAAAGCAAAGCGAATGGGCGTATAATTAAGACAAAATAACCAGCACTGACTTGCCGAATAAACAATGCAAAGGGTGTTTGGCCGTGATGCCACTTCACAGTTGTTGCCCTGTGATCATCAAAGTCAGTCAAATGACGCGGGATCGGGCAAACTCACTTTGTCCTTTATCAGCTTCACAAGCAATTTCCTGTACGTTTGAGGATGCCGGGATGGTGTTTGTCTCAGAAGGCTATTTTT